AGATGCTTCTCAAGCAGATCCTGGGACGTCATTCTCCCCTTGTACTTGGCCTTGGTGAGGCCGCAACTGGAGTACTGCGTCCAGTTTTGGGCTCCACAATTCAAAAAGGATGTGGAGAAGCTTGAGAGAGTCCAGAGAAGAGCCACGCGCATGATCAGAGGGCAGGAAAACAGACCTTATGATGAGAGGCTGAGCCATGGGACTTTTCAGCCTGGAAAAGCGCAGGCTCAGGGGTGATCTGGTGGCCACCTATATGTTTATCAGGGGTGCTCCTCAGGATCTGGGGGAACGACTGTTCACCAGAGCGCCCCAAGCGATGACAAGATCGAACGGTCACAAACCCCCCATGGCAGGGGGTCGGACTAGATGATCTGCTCAGGTCCCTTCCGACCCTAGAAACTATGAAACTATGAAACTCCACTGTGACCAGTTCAGGCTGGACATAAGAAATAACTTCTTCGCTGTCCGAGCCCCCAAGGTCTGGAGCAGACTGCCACCAGAGGCGGTTCAAGCGCCCACTTTGAATGCCTTTAAAACACATTTGGATGCTTATCTTGCTGGGATCCTAAGATCCCTGCTGACTTCTTGCCCCTTGGGCGAGGGGCTGGACTCGATGATCCTCTGGGGTCCTTTCCAGCCCAAATGTCTATGTCTATGTCCAGATACAGACATAGAAAAAACTAATTCAGTGGTTGCTGAGAGTGGGGAGATCTGAGTTTTATCCGTCTCCCTGATCTCCCACAGGCAAGTTATTTCACTGCCCCATGGCTCAGTTTTTCCATCTCTAAAATGGGAAGGATCCCACTGAAGTCAGAGGAGAACTGGACCCATAATCCAGACCAGTCACAACCTCAGTTTTCCGAGTACCCAAGATATTCCAAGCACTTTGACCCCCACAAAGATATGCTGCGTGGGCAAAGAAGCATTCATGCAATGGGATCAAGTAATAACAAACTGATCTAATGTTAGAGATGTGATGCACGTGTATACACGGGACTTAACGTACCTAAAAGCAAAAGTGCCGAAGAGGAAGAGAATCTGCCCAGGGTCTCTGAAAAGCTCCAGCAGTCTTTCTGACAAAACTTCTGAGTTCACAATGAAACCATGGACGATTCACATGGGTTGGAGCCTCGGCTGCAAACGTTTCACATGGCCCTAGCTAGAAGTTTGTTGGGAAGGGATTCAGAATATAAAGCCGTGGGGACAGCATCCGCGTTCCTCTGAAACCCCCCCAAATATTGTACACGTACCCAGAGTATTACGACAAGCATGCTCGATACCCCGATTCCAACCCCATTTCCCAAGCACTTATAAAATTTTCATTACAGATTACTGCCCTGTCGTGGAACAGAGGGCAACTTTATTAGAAGACACTGCACAGCAGTCTAGCAACAGAAGAATGCGCTGGTTGACAGTTATAGATATTCCTCTGTGAGATAGGGCAGAATGCTGGAAATGAAACAGATTATATAAAAAATGTAATTCAGAGCAATTTCTAGTAAAGAGTCAAAGAACCATATAATTCAACATTTATATAGACAAGGCTTCAAGGGAGCTCTTAAAAAAGAGACTGGAGGTAATGTGAAGAAACTCTGGCCTGATTTTTTTCTTCTATTTTTTGTGTCGGTCGTGTTGGCTTCAACCGCATCTACCCTCCGGCAAAACAGCGCAGGAAATGCCCCCTGCTTTTATTGCCCTCGTTGCATTGGTGCTACTTACTTCGTCCCCCTCTATTCTGTTCTCGTACTGCGCTCCTCTTGACATGAGGGCAAGCCGTGAATTTTGCAATTGCTCGCGTTGCCGGGGCCCTAACGTCTTTGTATGCTAGCTCCGAATAGGGTATTATCTTCCCCAAATGCTG